AAATGACAGATGCTGGCGAGGATGCGGAGAAAGGGGAACCCTCCTACACTGTTGGTGAGAATGCAAGCTGGTGCAACCACTCTGGAAAACAGCATGGAGGTTCCTCAAAATGTTGAAAATAGAACTACCCTATGACCCAGCAATTGCACTGCTGGGTATTTACCCTAAAGATGCAAACGTAGTGATCTGAAGGGGCACGTGCACCCGAATGTTTATAGCAGCAATGTCTACAATAGCCAAACTATGGAAAGAACCTAGATGTCCATCAACAGATGAATGGATAAAGAAGAGGTGGCATATATACACAATGGAATACTATGCAGCCATCAAAAGAAATGAAATCTTGCCATTTGCGACAACGTGCATGGAACTAGAGGGTATCATGCTTAGCGAAATAAGTCAATCAGAGAGACAACTATCATATGATCTCCCTGATATGAGGAAGTGGAGATGCAACATGGGGGGTTAAGGGGGTAGGAGAAGAATAAATGAATAAGTGAATAAATGAAACAAGGTGGGATTGGGAGGGAGACAAACCATAAGTGACTCTTAATCTCACAAAACAAACTGAGGGTTGCTGGGGGGAGGGGAGTTGGGAGAAGGGGGGTGGGGTTATGGACATTGGGGAGGGTATGTGCTATGGTGAGTGCTGTGAAGTGTGTAAACCTGGCGATTCACAGACCTGTACCCCTGGGGATAAAAATATATTATATGTTTATAAAAAAAAAGTTCCCTAATATAAATGTGCTAAAAATTTTCTAAAACTGAAAGGGAAAATGACTATATATGAAATCCAACACAGGTGTTATTTAATACACAAAAGTACAATTTTATATGGAACTTGAATGAAATGATAAACATTTTCATAATGAATATGTTCCATGATGGGATTCAGCTCAGTTGGTTATTTGCCCCTTGCCTTTTAAAAAGAAATTCTAGAATGGACTGTTAAATGATTGACATAAAACCAAGTAAAGAAAGGAGTTTAGCAATTAAAATAATAATAAGTATGTATGGTTATAAGAATCATTGAATTTCACTTTTTTATTTTTTTATTTAAATTCAATTAGCCAACATATAGTACATCATTAGTGTTCAATGATTCATCAGTTGCATATACTACCCAATGATCATCACATCACGTACCCTCCTTAATGCCCATCATCCAGGTACCCCATCCCCCCACCGACCTGCCTTCTGTAACCCCCAGTTTGTTTCCCAGAGTCAAGAGCCTCTCATGGTTTGTTTCCCTGTCTGACTCTTTCCCATTCAGTTTTCCCTCCCTTCTGCTATGGTCCTTTGCGCTATTCCTTATGATCCACATATGAATGAAACTATATGATATTTGTCTTTCTCTGATTTACTTATTTCACTTTTACTTATTTTCACTTATTTACTTCCTGCAGGTGATACCCTGCAGTTCCATCTATGTCTATGGAAATGGCGGGTATTCATCCTTTCTGACGGCTGAGTAATATTCCATGCATATATAAACCACATCTTCTTTATCCATTCATCTGTTGAAGGACATCTCTGCTCCTTCCACAGTTTGGCTATTGTGGACATTGCTGCTATGAACACTGGCATGCAGGTGCCCCTTCTTTTCACTACATCTGTATTTGGGGAATAAATAACCAGTAGTGCAATTGCTGGGTTGTAGGGAAGTTCTATTTTTAATGTCTTGAGGAACCTTCATACTGTTATGCACAGTGGCTGCACCAGCTTGCATTCCCACCAACAGTGTAAGAGGGTTCCCCTTTCTCCACATCCTCTCCAACACTGTTGTTTCCTGTATTGTTAATTTTAGCCATTCCAACAGGTGTGAGGTGATATCTCATTGTGGTTTTGATTTGTATTTCCCTGACGACAAGTGATGTTGATCATTTTTTTAAGTGTCTGGTAGCCATCAGTATGTCTTCTTTGGGAAAATGCCTATTCATGTCTTTTGCCCATTTTTTTTTATTTGACAGACAGAGATCACAAGTAGTCAGAGAGGCAGGCGGAGAAAGAGAGAGGGGAGGAAGCAGGCTCCCTGCCGAGCAGGAGCCCGATGCGGGACTCGATCCCAGGACCCCGAGATCATGACCTGAGCCGAAGGCAGAGGTTTAACCCTCTGAGCCACGCAGGCACCCCTTCTGCCCATTTCTTGATTGGATTACTTGTTCCTTGAGTGTTGAGTTTGGTAAACTCTTTATATATTTTGGATAGTAACCCTTTATCAGAGATGTTATTTGCAAATACCTTTTCCTATTCTGAAGGTTACTTTTAGTTCTGTTGATTGTTTCCTTCACTGTGCAGAAGTTTTTTATCTGATGAAGTCCCAATATTTCTTTTTTTTTTTTCTTTTCTTTCCCTTGCTTCTGGAGATGTGTCTAGGAAGAATTTGCTTCCTGTGTTCTCTAGGATTTTAGAGGTTTCCTGTCTCACATTTAGGTCTTTCATCCATTTTGAATTTATTTTTGTGTGTATGGTGTAAGAAAGTGGTCCAGGTTCACTCTTTTGCATGTGGCTGTCCAGTGTTCCCAACACCATTTCTTGAATAGACTATCTTTTTTCCATTGGATAGTCTCTTCTGCTTTGTCAAAAATTAGTTGACCTTACGTTGTGGGTCCATTTCTGGGTTTTATTTTGTTCCATTGATTGATCTATGTATCTGTTTTTGTACCAGTACTAACCTCTTTGGATGACCCCAGGTTTGTAATACAGCTTGGAGTCCAGAATCATGATGTCTACAGCTTTGCTTTGCTTTTTCAACATTCCTTTGGCTTTGCGGGGGGCGGGGCAGTCTTTTGTGGTTCCATGTTTTAGGTAGGTTGTTCTAGCTCTGTGAAAAATGCTGGTAGTATTTTGATAGGGATTGATTTCAATGTGTAGACTGCTTTGGGTAGTATAGATATCGTAACAGTATTTGTTTTTCCGATCCATGAGCATGGAATGTTTTTCCAATTTTTTGTGTGATCTTCAGGTTCTTTCATCAGTGTTCTATAGTTTTCAGAGTACAGATATTTTACCTCTTGGGTTAGGTTTATTCTCAGGTATCAGATGGGTTTTGGTGCAATTATATATGGGATCAATTCTTTGATTTCTCTTTCTGCTACTTCAGTATGGGTGTATTGAAATGCAAGAGATTTCTGTATGTTGACTTTGTATCCTACAACTTCGCTGAATCATGTATCATTTCTAGCAATTTTTTAGTGGAGTCTTAAGGGTTTTCCACATGGAGTACCATGTCATCTGCAAATAGTGAAAGTTTTACTTCTTCTTTCCCAATTTGAATGGGAAATTTTATTTCTTTTTGTTGTCTGATTGCTGAAATCTATGACTTCTAGTACTATGTTGAATAACAATTGTGAGAATGGACATCGCTGTCTTGTTCCTGCTGGTAGAGGAAAAGCTCTCAGTTTTTCCCCATTGAGAAATATATTAGCTGTGGGTTTTTCGTATTCAGACTTCATAACGTTGTGATATATTCCCTGTGTCCCTACTTTGTTGAGGGTTTTCATCAAGAATGGATACTATATTTTGTCAGATGCTTATTCTTAGACAAAATGTCAGGACTGTGAATTTCATCACAAAAGAAAGAACACAGGGGCAGGAAATACTGCCAGTCCTCTCCCTTGTCCCTGGAAAGGGGAGTTCATGCCCACTGCTGCCGGGAAAGCCCTCACAAAAGAGGGAACAGTCTCCCCTTATGTGTTGCACATGTCCCTCAGATACTGCCTTCACCCTGACTGTATCTGGGCCATCTGCTTGCCCACCTGTGATCTATCCCAGGCAGACCAGCTGAGTTTTAGAACTCAAAACTTTAGCGACCTGGCCTGGTCCAGACCTGTGCTGGTCCTCTGCAGGAAGGTCTCACCATGTTGGAACTGATGCAGGTTTATCCCAGAAGGGCAGTCACTCCAAAGCACAAGGCCATGGTAGTTTGGAGCAAAATGTGTCAAAGAACCAGTGTTTGAATTAGCTGCCCTCAGCAGATGTCTTGGGAAATGGTGCCTGTCAGTTTTTTCTCCCAGAGAGACAATGAATGGCACCTCTCCCAGATGTGCTTCAAGAGGAGGGAACAGTCTCTCCCAGGACATCCCAGGGGATCCTCAGACTGCATCTTCTGCCCCCAGGCTATCTGCCCTCCTTCTCCACAGGAACACTGCAGGGCCCTCAGGGCTCAGCACTGGCCATGCTGCAGACTTCTAAAACTCTAGTCTTTGAACCCACTGGTTGTAAAATCTCACAAAAATCAGCCCCTCTCATCTTCCCAGTCAGTGTCTTTGGGGATGTGTTTTCCTTGTGCAATCCCCTGTGTACTCCTCTCTCTCTCTCTCATTCCCTCTTTCTTTCTCCTGCCTCTCTCCATGACCAGTGCTCCCCTCCACAGTACCTGTGATCCATTTCTCCCCTAAATCCAGTCTCTGCACCTCCTACCTTCCATGATGTGGCCCCTTCTCTCCCTAGTTGTGCAGTTTATCAATGCGCAAATCAATTTTGTGGGTGTTCAGAATGATTTGGTATTTCTCTAGCTGTGTGTAAGGGATGAGGCAAGTACAGTTTTATAGAATGTTTAAAAATTTACTTGCACAGTTGAAAATTAATCTTGAATCAACCAATCTGGCCTATTTGTCACACTGCTAATGAGTCTGGCAACTTAATTAACAAAATGTCATTCTGCTTTGCTAGATAAGGTATGATACATCTGTAATGGCCTATTTTATTATAAGCATGGGATAAACATGTAAGTATATTGAGAAAAGTCTTCTTAGAATAAATTTTTCACAGTATTTAAGCAATAAGAAAAACTCTGTGTAGACACATTTTTATTTTTATTTTGAGTAACTTTTTCAGGACAATGATTTATCACTGGTATTCTTAGATTCTTTTAATATGATACATAATTTATTAGCACATACTAATTAAAGTTTTTTTACCTCTTTGGGATGAGATTTAATTGCATTGTCCATTTAAAAATATTAGAAATGAAACCTTGGATTCTATTATGCATTAGAATCTTGTGACATGCCAGTATTGGAGAATGCCAGAATCAGAAGTAATAGCCAGCGGTTTAAAGTCAATGACAAGTTGGACTATGAATGCCTTGACGGATTTGAAAGCAGAGATGGGCGTGCAGGTTCCATAGTGTGTGGTAATGACGGTTGGTCTCATAAACCAGCATGTTATGGTAAGTGCTGTTTTTTCAGGTATTCTTTTTTTCGGGATTAACAAAATCAACAAAATATATTTAAAATGTTCCATTTTGAACAAATTTGCATTATTTAAATTCATTATTAAGAGATAATGACTAAAAACAAGTGTCTCCTGATTCAATGCAACCTGGGAGAACAGGGTGTTTTAAGGCCCAAAGACAATAATTTATCTTTAACACAGTACATTAATGTTTCCTATGGGCCATATGCATGATAGATTTGTAAATAAAGTATAATCATGTTTCTTAATCCAAATGCAGTCTTTCATATTATTTTAAATGGGGGTCTTTTAGTGTATGGCATAAGAAAACCAAAACTATAGTTGCTAACAATTTCCTCAGCTGTTTTGCTCTTGAGTTTCAGCTTTTACACCTTCTACCTCAAGTGTTAATTTCCTCAGCTCCCAAAGCTCTTTCTTTTCTGACTTTGACAAGTTCCATGGACAATTATTACATGACTCTCTGTGTGTTTGCGAATCCACTATTTTCTAGGAGTAGGAGAAGGACTTGAATCTGTGGGAAACTTGAGTGGATTTAGAGTGTTCCAAGCCAAAGGAACAGTTTGTTCAAAACCTTGACAATGAAACAATATTTGGGAAATATCAGGGTGAGCAGGTTCTACTCAAGATTTGGGAGAGTTTTATGGACTGAAGCTGGATAGGAAGCAAAAAAGGATTATTCAGGTTATTTTCAAGGCAAGTCAGCCTTTAGATTAATTTTTTTAATTGATAAAAAGCCCTAAAGAAGTCTTAAGGAAAGAAAGAATATAAATGTATTTAGAGGTTTGTTTTTTTTTTTTTCTCTGTACATTGTACTTGTGGTGGGGAAGAAAGGATTCACGAGTGTATGCAGGATGAGTCCGTGTGGGGATAGGGATAAGGTGACGGCTGACGAGATGCAAAGCAGAAAACATTCGTGATCTACTTTCTTGGTAAAACACAGCTGATGTTTACTAAATACTGGATGCAAGACAGTGTAATGGTCAAGGGATTCCCATGCTTGTTTTAAATTTTTTTCATAAGCAAGCGGCTAAATGGCAATGCCTTTCTGTGAGGTGGTGCTGACAGAAGAAAGAGCACTTTGGGGGGAACATCATAACTTTTGATTTGAGCACGTTATGGTTGAGCTGCCCAAGGACAGTCAAAATTGGATATGTAAACTACGGAGCTGAATATATGGGTCTAACTAAGAGAGATATATTTGGAATTGTCACCCAATAAATGATGATAGCAAACTGGAAAAGAATACAGAATAAAAAGGGAAGAGAGCTCCAGACTGAGCCCTGAAGCATTCCAACGTTTAGGTGTCAGGCAGAAGAGAAATAGGTGGCAAGGTAGCTAGAAAAAGGAGGACCCAGAGAACAGGGAGAAGAAAACATTTTGGAATGACTGTTCTCATAGTTGTGAAGAGAAGGAAGTGATTAAAGGATAAGGAAGTATAAGTGAATCCTGTGGAGTCAGCCTGGTCAATTCCAATTCCCTCATTCACTAAATTCCAATTTGACTAAACATGTATCCTAACGCAACAACCAAGCTTATTTGGAGCTTTGTTCATTCTTCTTTATCTGCAAAATGTTTTAACAATTACAAATGCTCTAATATGTCAAAGGATTGTTTTTCAATTTAGTGTGATTCTAATATTTAAATTCCAGTTTTTAATTTTGCAAATTAATTAGCAAGATAGGAGGGTTCCAGATTTGAAAAATGCATTTTTTATAATATTTAAGAATGTCATAAATATCACAAATATCACAAACTTGACAAATTTAAAGGGATAATTTTCATATTCTTAAATTGAATCATCATAATCAACAGTTTTAACAGATGATATAAATTATAGGCTCAATAAGAATAGATACTTGTATATTATATAAATACTCAGGACACCTAGAATATGCCTAGTTATGTGGCCTTGAACATGTTTCTTTATTTTGTTTCATGTTTCAGTTTATGGTTCAGTTTTATTTCTTTACTAATATAATTAACATGATATAATATAAATTAAGCAATTTTAATAGTGTCTTTAAGCCACATTAGAAATGCCTTAAGTGTGTTCTGGTTCTCCAATTATATTTACATTAAATTAAAATACCAATTCTTATTTGAGTGCAATTTTAAAATTATAGCATCACTTTTTTTAATGCAAGAGAATACTTTCCTGTTTTGAGTACAAAACAATATCACATTATATTTTATAAATAAATGGCAGTTATAAAATCAGATCCAATATAAGCAAGTTGACGTTACAAATAAATTTTCAGGATACATATATTGTTATTCAATGCCTTAATATTCCTTAGTCCTCTATGAATTTAAGTGTGTAAAATCTAATATGTAATATTTTTCAAGGAGGAGGATTTATCTGATGCCCCTCTGTATATGCAGTATTCAGATCCTCATTTTTTATAAGACACATAAAATTTACATTGGTGATGATTGATTAAATATTCTCACTAAATTTTTTGACCTTTTTTTATAGAAATAGAATGCAAGGTTCCAGAAATAGAAGAAAACTTAATTGCTCACCCCAGAAAGGATAAATATAGAGTTGGAGACATGTTGAAATTCTCCTGCAAACCAAGACTTAAAAGAGTTGGACCAGATTCAGTTCAATGTTACCACTTTGGATGGTCCCCTAATCTTCCAACATGTAAAGGTGCATATCTATCTTACAATCGCTAAAATAAGAATTAGGGTTTGGATATCAGCCTTTTTTTAACGTCTTGATTTTCTGTTGGCTTTGAGTATGTCTATAATCTAGTGCATTAAGCCAGGACATGTACTCGGTGGATAGATCCCTCAGACTTCCTTATTTAAGCAATTAATTTCCAATGTTTCTTGAAATATGTAGTGGAAGTATGCATAGATACACATATGATGTCTCACATTCCTTTTGTTATTTTTCCTTTTTCCTACAGTTCCACCAATAATATTGGACGCTTTGTATAGCATGGGCCTTTCCTCAAGTTTCACTGTGTCTAAATGATATTCAAGGAACTTATTGTCAATTCAATCATATGTATGCTTAATCAAAGTTAAAACATCTTGATCAAATGCTTTTCTCAAATCATGTCATTTTCTCCAACACTTTTGATAAAATGTTTCCATGGAATATGAATATTGCTGTAATTTACACAACCAAATTTATTAATTGGTTTGCACACATCTTTAGAATATCTAGATTATTAA